ACTTCATTTGAATGATTTCCATCCCTAGATGCATGGGGCACTCTCACATCTGCTCACTGTATCATAGTGACCTCTGGCGATGGATGGACTTTAAGACTCTGCTCTGGTCACCACACAATGATGGAAAAATATCTGGAACATATTCCCGTAACTGTTCCATCTTCTTGACCTCACTCAGATTTTCTGTGAATATCAGTGAACCGATTACTTTTACCCTAGCCAAATCATTCCCTAAGAGTATATCAATTCTGTCCACTGGTCGGTTCTTACGACCTCCTAGCACTGTACTAGACAACACGCCACCCTCTCACTGCACTTTGTTCAATGCATGTGCAGCATTTTCTCCACTTATGATGCTCATTAACACTTTGGCGCTCATCCCACACTTGGGAGGGACACTAGATCCTTCTCCAGTAAAAGTTCCTATCTTCCTGAAAATAGTTATGGGTTTAGCTGCATCAGAAAAAAAAGGGTTCTCTTCCCTTTGACAAAAGCCCTTTATATTTCTCATTATTCACTTCTACTGGTGTCTGTTTTTGTACGTGTGTGGATGTAATGGGCCAAAGGGCCTCTTTCTCTGTGCCGTAGATCTCTATGACTCTATGACTTCTGCACACACAGTGGCATTTACCTCCAATCTCTTCATTCTAGTTAGAAGTTACAATTTCATCCATGATGGTATTTTCCAGAAAGCAGAGCGAGATAAGTGGAGGATTCATCAAAGACTGTCGAACTTTTAACTTATTCCTTTATTTTCCTAGTGTAAACTACAAAAGACTTTAATGTAAACTATTACCTATCTCTTTATTTTTCTACTATTCTATGAAGTAATGCTTAACTTTTTAAACTCTCATTTCTTGTATTACTTAGTACCTAAGCTTTTTTGTACCAAGGTACCTTGGTACCTAAGATGGCGCCATGTGAGGCAAATTGTACACTTTTCACTGTACTCCTGTACTTGAGTACACGTGACAATAAAAATTAAAATCTAAATTCTTTTGAATTCCCTTTTCAGACTCACTCGTACAAACTTCAGTGAGTCTCACAGTCTTCCATCTCAACCTACAGCATTCTGAATGAAGATAGCTCTTATTCCAATGAAATCGCTGGGCCTTCCATTTTCACCTCCATCCTCAGCAGCTTCCTTTCTGACCCAAGGAGGAGATCTTCATACATTCCCCACTGTCCTTTTTTACCCTGGCTACTTGCCCTCCAAATATCTCTGTCTTAGTTCTGGCAGCAATGCCAATTCAATCAACCTGGTGTCTGTGACCTTTTTTACATTTGTCAGGGACATCTCACTCATGGTTGACCCACAATGCCATTAGAGAGGGATTTTGACCCAGCGACAGTGAAGGAACGGTGATATATTTCCAAGTCAGGATAGTCAGTGGCTTGGAGGGGAACTTGCAGGGGGTGGTGTTCCCATGTATCTGCTGCCCTTGACCTTCCAGATGGAAGTGGTCATGGGTTTGGAAGGCGCTGCCTGAGGGTCTTTGGTGAATTTCTGCAATGCATCTTGTAGATAGTACATACTGCTGCTACTGAGCATCGGTGATGGAGGGAGTGGATGCTTGTGGATGTGGTGCCAATCAAGCGGGCTGTTAGTGTCAAGCTTCTTGAGTGTTGTTGGGGCTGCACTCATCCAGGCCAGTGGGAGTATTCCATCACACTCCCGACTTCATAGGATCATAGAATCCCTACAGTGTGGAAACAGGCCCTTTGGCCCAACAAGCCACACCGACCCTAGCAGCATCCTACCCAGACCCATCCCCCTATAACCCACCTAATCTACACATTCCTGAACTACATGGAAAATTTAGCAAGGCCAATCCACCTAACTTGCACATCTTTGGACTGTGGGAGGAAACTGGAGCACCCGGAGGAAACCCACGCCGACACGGGGAGAATGTGCAAACTCCACCCAGATAGTCACCTGAAGGTGGAATCAAACCAGGTCCCTGATGCTGTATGGCAGCAGTGCTAACCACTGAGCCACCGTGCCGACTAGTGCCTTGTGGATGGTGGGCAGACGTCGGGGAGTCAGGAAGTGAGTTACTCACTGCAGTATTCCAAGCCTCTGACCTGCTCTTGTATTTATAAGACTAGTCCAGCTGAGCTTCTGGTTAATAGTAACCCCCCAGGATGTTGATTGTGTGGTATCATGTGATGGTAATACCACTGAATGTCATAGGGTGGTGGTTCAATTCTCACTGCTTGCAGATGGTCAATGTCTGGCACTGGTGCGTGTAAATGTTACTTGTCAGCCTAAGGCTGGATATTGTCCAGATCTTCATGCATTTAGACATGAACATTCATCTTCTGAGGACTAAGTCATTGGGAAAGTCATTGATGAAGCAGCTGAAGATGGTTGGGCCAAGGACACTACCCTGAGGAACTCCTGCAGAGATATCCTGGAGCTGAGATGACTGACCTCCAACAACCTCAACCATCTTCCTATGTGTCAGGTATGACTCCAAACACCAGAGAGTTTGTCCCCAATACGCATTGAGTCCACTTTTGCTACGGCTCCTTGATGCCCTGCTCAGTCGAACGCAGCCTTGATATCAAGGACTGTCATGCTGACCTCACCTCTGGAATTCAGCTCTTTTGTCCATGTTTAAACCAAGGCTGTAATGAGGTGAGGAGCTGAGTGGCCCTGGCAGAACCCAAACTGGGCATCACTGAGCAGGTTATTACTGAGCAGGGGCTGCTTGATAGCACTGTTACTGACACCTTCCATCACTTTATTCCACCTGAACCAATTCTGCATCTGGATCCCCTGAATCAAGGTCATCGCTAACTACTGCATCAATGCCACCCTTCAGTAATTGTGTTATGCCACCACCTTTATCTAGCTTTATATTTTTCTTCAATGTCATATACCCTTCAATATTCAGAATTCAAACCTTGTCATCCTACAGCCACATCTTCATAATGGCTATCAGATCAAAGTTTAGATCAAAGTATCTCTTCCATCAAATTGTGGGAGATCCTGAACTGATTTTAACAGCTGTGCTCTGGGTCTTGCATCAGACTGTGGTGTCTCTTTGTCAGAATGTTCCCACAGTCAGACAGCTCTTCTTTTAATTGAAACATTTTAAGCTCATATTCCCTTTCTCTCCCGTTTTCTTTTGCCTGAAATGTTCATTCACTTTCTTTCTCTAATGCCCTAAGTGTGGTTTCTCTTCATCACCTCTCCCTCTGAAGTGCTCTTTCCCTTTCTTTTTTCTCAGGCTCAAGTTATTTTTAAGTTTCATTTCCTTTTCTATTTCAAGTTGCTTCATTAGCAACTGAACTCTCACTAACACAACTGACTCATCAAATGAGGTAACAAGGTGTAGAGCTGGATGAACACAGCAGGCCAAGCAGCATCAGAGGAGCAGGAAGGCTGATGTTTCGGGCCTGGACC